AAAAAAAAAAAGAATGGGAAGGCTCTTTAAGACACTGATATAGAAAGATCTCCAAAATATATTGTTAGGTGAAAAAAAGCAAGGTTCAGAATCATGTGCATAACTTACTGCCATGTTTTGTTTTGTTTAGTTTTGTTAAGGTAAAAAGAGAATATGTATAGGTATGGTGTTTGTTGAGGCTTATACTTGCATGAACTGTCTCCAGAAGCAGCAACTGGAAATTTAATGTGAATTCAAATGCCCAGGGGATTTTTTTTTTTTTTTTCTGAGACGGAGTCTCGCTTTGTCACCCAGGCTGGAGTGCAGTGGTCGGATCTAGGTTTACTGCAAGCTCCGCCTCCCAGGTTCACGCCATTCTCCTGCCTCGTCCTCCCGAGTAGCTGGGACTACAGGCGCCCGCCACCACGCCCGGCTAATTTTTTATATTTTCAGCAGAGACAGAGTTTCACCATGTTGGCCAGGCTGGTCTTGAACTCCTGACCTCAGGTGATCCACCCACCTTGGCCTCCCAGACTGCTGGGATTACAGGTGTGAGCCACTTTGCCTGGTCAATTTTTGTATTTTTGGTAGGGACAGGGTTTCTCCATGTTGCCCAGGCTGATCTCCAACTCCTGGGCTCAAGCAGTCTGCCTGCCTCAGCCTTCAAAGTGCTAGGATTACAGGGTGAGCCACAGCGGCCAGCCCTCTATGCATATATTTAAAGCAAAATTAGAGTCACAGTTTATATTGTTTCATATCCTTCTCTTCAGTTTAACATTATTTTGCAAGCATTTCCCCATATCATACCATTTTTACACAGATGAAATTTAGTTACAATTTCTATGTAGGGCAACCCTGAACAAAAGGATTTCATAGAGATTTTGTGGAAGAGCTCGACAGAGAATGCATGTCAACAGAGGCCCCCAGAGAGTCATGGAGCCACCTATTTGCCATGGGCGGCCTACCTGAATGGTTTACAAAAGAAAGGTAGAAACTAAGCTTTAACAAGTGCTGAGGCCAGGGTCTTTAAATATGTCACCTTATTTAATCCACACAAGCCTGCAAAGCAAATAAAATTATCTCAATTTTACAGAAAAATGATAATAAAACTGAGGCTCATGGCTGGGTGCGGTGGTTCACACCTGTAATCCCAGCACTTTGGGAGGCTGAGGTGGGCAGATCACCTGAGATCGGGAGTTTGAGACCAGCCTGATCAACATGTAGAAACTCCATCTCTACTAAAAATACAAAATTAGCCAGGTGAGGTGCCAGGTGCCTGTAATCCCAGCTACTTGGGAGACTGAGGCAGGAGAATCACTTGAACCCGGGAGGCAGAGGCTGCGGTGAGCCAAGATCGCGCCATTGCACTCCAGCCTGGGTGTGATAGCGAGACTCCATCTCAAAAAAAAAAA